CATCCGGCACCGGCAGCGGCTGCCGGGCAGCGGTGCCAGCCACCGGCACCGGCATCCGGCACCGGCACTGGCACCGGCACTGGCACCAGCAACGACAAAAAAAGTATATACTCACCGAATCAGTCTAGCAAACCTACCATCCCAACAACGGGGGGATGGGGCAAGGCATTCATGACATCATTGCATCGTTAGTCGGGCGCCAAACGCCTTAACCGATTGAAGGATCCATTGAAGGATCCCCCATCCAACCGAGTGCAGTATTTGTTCATCGATTCAGATGCTTGCAGGGCAATTAGGTTGGGCTCAGCCAGGTGCTTACCACAGCGGTTTGGTGGTGGCAGGCGAGGAATGGGCTGGGGAGCTCAGACCATGAAAGGGCACGGATTTTGGAGAGTGGGCACTTGCACCGATCGGCAAGGGAGTGCGTGTATGTCAACCCCTGTTCCAAAGGGAACTAACCTACTGTATCTATTCCCCTATTCTGCCTTCTCATCCAATTTGTTGCGCGAACTGTATAGCAGCAGGGGGTGGTAGCAAGGCAGAGAGTCTACCACCAACGAAGACACTCTCTAAGCCTTGGTGATACTGGGACTGATCATCCCAGCGTACCTGCCAAATTTTTAATTGATACTTCATGTTTCACTTATGTTCAAACATTCTGTTTTTTGACCTTTCACTTCTTTCCGTTGAATCAAGTCAAGTGCTAAGTATTCACCTAAAGGGTTAATGCTCACCGCGCATCTCTGAAATGCAGCTCCGCAAAGCACTCTTCTCAAGTGTGATTCGTAGCTTCTTCCCACTGTGGTAAGCTGTGTGAACCCTGCGGTTCGCCGCTACTGAGTGGAAGTTCTTCTCCTCATTGCAGGAGTACATTTTCTGAACGTTTTCTGAATTTTCCTGCTCGACCTTTCTTGCTCGAAGTCAGACTGTCCGAAACGTCTCACCTTGTACGCGTGAAACCGTACTGCAGAGTCCACTGAAAGCCTGTTCTGAATGAGTTTCACCCCGGAAGATGTTCCAACTTTTCAAGCGACAATCATTTCAATTTTTCAATCTTCAACTTTTCAATTATTCCCCTAGGACCTCCTCTAAATTACTCTGTCGACGTTTTATCTTGTGGCTTTTTGCATGTTACACACATTGAATTGCTAGTGCATTGCTTTCAGTGACTGCCATGACTTATCCCTGGCCATACGTGTGGCCGCCAACAGTTCAACCTCAACAGCCGCCGCCCATGCATCCACACTGGGCCTCCTATCCCACACAACCACACCCACCAGTTACGATGGTGACACACAGCCCACCTATCACTCACTACCCAGAAGTATATCCTCCCACAATTCCACCACAATACTTCCCACATCCACACCATTTACAGCCTTACCCTCATCCACATCCACAACATCTACACCCTACTGCGCTACCACCACATCAATCACAGACTTATCCGCCACATCCTCCACATCCAGCAGTACAACCACCTCCCACTACACATCCAGCACCCAGTCACACAGACTCCAATCTACTTTATCCCGCGTCAACCTACAACGTTTCTCCCACACACCCACCACCTACAACACAACCACCACAACCTCATACCACAACCACACCAGTTCCAGATTCAGCACCAGCTCAAGGAGCAACAGCAACTACAAACGCTTCACATGTTCCACAAGCTGCATCACAGCCCATTCAACCTGCCAGAGCATCCACACATTCACAAACAGATGAGCCTCACACACCTTTGTCACCAACAGCTACCATGCAATCAGAACGACCCCGCCGCCCCACACCCTCTATTGCACCTACACTTACAACCACCCGAGGCATCTGGCGTGATCCACAGCGATCTCCACCACGCACCCAAGAAAGGCATCGTTACTCAGCCTTTCCATACGTAACAGACGCAGCCACCTCCAGAACGTCGTCTCGTTCGCGAACCAGATCGCCACTACCTCGACACAGAAGTACAACCAGAAGATCCACTTCAATGGTCCAACCACCACCTCCACCACCACCACCTGTACCACTACACAAGCCACTTCAACCATCACCTCCCCAGCCACCGCCTCCACCCCTTGCCACACCACCCATGCAACACCGGCACAAACGTCAGCGTGAGGAAAACAGTCCTCCTCGACAATCCCAACCAATCACACTCACACCCAATCCACAATCACGCCCACCTCCAACAACACCTCCCACTCCCTGCGCACCCACCACATTACCACCTCCACCCCCACACACTCAACCTGATGTACCAGTACAGCGCCGACCTCCCAATCTACCGCCTCCACGTTTCCGACGACCCACTGACCCCAATCAACTTGAAATTTTCAATTGGATCAACCAACATTCCCGCTCAATGCACATTCACAACGAGCCAATGAGCTCTTATGTATCCAAGGTGCTTGCCCCAGCACATCTCATTTCCTCCCACTTCACCGACATTCAGCTGTTGACCCACTTAAAGTGGAATGAGCAAACTCAGTCGGAACAGTTCACAGTCCTGGTCATCCCCGCGCTCGCCGACAGAGGTGACGCTCCAACCCTCCCACCGCCAAGACGTGAAGCACTAAACATACCAGCAATCAAACACATCTTCGCTGCACACGTAAGCGAAGAGGGAAACATCATTTCAATACTCCAGGAAGGGGAGATCATTCGCTCCATTCTTCATGATACAGACAACGTGGGCTTCTTTTGCCAAGCTTTCGAGCTTTCTAACAATGAAGAACAGGATGCGATCGAGGCAGCACGCGTGTTGTTTAACGCCTCAAGTATGTCGAAAAATAGAAGCGGCCGCATTTTAACACTGGAGGCCTATGGCAGGGGTCAAAAAGTCACCCATGGCGGCGAATCCGCCGCGAACGACCTCCTTTTGCGTGGTGAGGGGACAGCGAAATACACCCCAGGAAAATGCTGGGTGGTTTATTCGAAGCATGTTCAGATTGAAGGAATTGCTTGGCGAGCCGATGGCCAGCCCCCGCTCAGCTTCATGTAACAGACCTTTCGCCGAGCGCATTGTTCAATGTCCATGACATGATGACTTCTCCGCTGGACTTGCCAATGGCACACAGACTTCTATTGGCTCACTTACAAGCAGCGACATCTATCACCACACCTCTCCAAAACCTACCTCAATTCAACCCAACTACACAACCTTCCCCAACACACCCGATGGATCCTCTTTCAAGACCACACAATCCCACAACTCCACCCACACCACCACCACCACCTTTCACCATTTGCCGCAGCCGCAGCCCCCATCGACCACATGCCTTCTCCCTCACCAATCAACACCACCCCAGCCACAGCCATCACTCACACTGCAAACCGGAACCTTCATCATCACCTACACCAACAGTCTCACCACCCCCTTCTCCACCCAATCCACCACAACACATGACCACGTCGCCCACAACACGGCGGCTATCTCAACAGAAAACCCAACCAGCTTTCTCACTACACAGCTCTACATCCTCACCCACACAACCACTTGCACTACCCACCAACATCCCTCTCACCACACCTCCACCGCTTCCTCTACCTGACGGATCACGTTCACCATCGCCACCATATCCTGACAACGGCGGCTGGGAGCCCAGTGACGATGAGAAGCTCGCTTCACTCAAGCTCAATAAGAAAGCACACCCCCAGCAGGCGAAGGAACAGCACTACGCAAACTTCAGCAGCAGACAGACCGCCGTCACCAACAAGAGAGTGAACTCCAGCGCGCTCGTGACAAGCTCAAAACATACGGCATCGCTCTCACACCCACAAAGCCCGGCGGCACCAGCACAGCAGCACCATCCCCTTACCGCAAGTGGCGGTCCCGAGTACAGCGGTGCAGGCCGACCTTCCTGTGGCAGCTGAACCTGAAGCAGCCCAGCGCACCTCCTCTCCGGAGAGCACTTCCAGTGACGACGAATCCTCAGCCGGCCCGCGATCGCCGAGCGCCTCACCGAGCAAGGAACCAGCAGCCCCGGCTCCCCCGGCCCAGCCTGTGGCCCCCAAGGCTATGCCACCAGCTGTAGCAGCTACAGTTCCCGTGCCCAAGGCCTCGGAGGTTGTCCCACCATGGCGCGCAGCAGCAGTGGATGCCAATGCCGCTCCGAAGCTTAAGCTGTTGTAAAAGTGCTTTGGTTTGTTGTAAAAGTGCTCCAAGATGGGG